ACAAGATCAGAGGCAAAAATGTCGGCGGGCAGTGCATCAAATGCCATATTGGGCTTGGGAGAGATGGTGGTGACAGGGGCGGGATGGAAGTTAGGCGGAAGAAAACTGTCTGCTTTGGAAAGGCCCTTGTTCCTATCATCTTCTGTCTCGCTTTGGGCGCCTGGTCGAAGACTGGAGACGACCTGTCGGTGGACTTCCAAACGCAACTGCTCCAGGATAATGCCGTAGCGACGGTTGGGACTGCTCCGGCAGGTGGCCTTGCCCAGATGCTGTTGGCAGGTCTCTGCGAGGCTGAACAGATATTGCACCTGACTGCTGTTTTCCACCTTCTTCGATGGATCAGCCGACGCTTGATGCTGTTTGATTATGTGGATGTACACCACGGTAATGGCGCAGAAGCACACGTAATGAGTGAACCAAAACCCATGGATGAGAGCATTCCGGCTGGCAAGTCCGTTGATGATGGTCATGACTTCCTCGGCGGCCCCGATGCACTTGTGAACATAGGTGGCGGCGCTCGATTGCGGAATATCTTTGCAGTCATTGAAGAGAAATAATCGCGTGGTGTAAATAATTGCGTGCGAGTAGGCCAGCTGCTGGATCAAAGATCGCCAGCCATCCATCAATGGGGCTGCGGCCTCCTTCCATCGTTCTAACTCGAGGGTTAATAGGATGGCCGCCTCGAAAGGGGACCCTGCCGGCGGATTGAGAGTATACAACTTCCTTGAAATGTCAGCCAGCAACCGTGAGAGCCTGCTAATTGTTAGCTGAAATTGTATTTCTCTTCGAACAATACTTCAAGTCAGATACAGACCGGTAATGCAGTACAGATGCGATCATCACATCATCGGGCACGCCAGATCGCATGCTCGGCTCATTGATCAACAAGTCTTGATCCGTCACCTCATCCGGAAGCTCTTGGTCAAAATCCTCATCGTGCAGCAACCGTGGTCGGCCGAACATCACGCTCAGATACTTGTCCAACGTGTACACGCTCCAAAAGGTTCTCTTCCGGAGCTCTTGCTCCATATATGTGCCCTTTCCCTCTTCGACCATAGTTGACGGCCATTTGCGATGTATGTCAAGAGCGGTCAAGAACTGAACGGTCGTGCCGAACGCGAACCAGCACTCACTGCCTCGGGACGACGCTAGTAGGTAGAGACTTCGGTTCAGTCTTGCTTGTACTGTCTCCAGCTGTGGTGCGCCGGACTCAATGGACGACATGTGCTTGGAGAGGGCAAACCAGCGTTCGCTACAGGTAATCAGCGAGTGGACTGAGATATCAATGCGCCATTTTCGGGCTTACCTCTGCTCGTCATAATCTACGTCGGACTCGGGAGCTCGCCTGTCATAGAGTGTACCGATCGCAAGGACGCTGTACACAATAGAGCACCGGCCCACCATCAGGTCTGTGGGCAGGTTTGTCGCTGAAATGTTGCTCTGGTAGATCTGACGAAGCCATCGCTCGACATGACCGCGATGCAAGAACCGGTAGGTGACAACAGCATATTCAAAGTACGTTGCGACCATCTCCAGTGTCTTCTCCAACGGAGGAAGGGTGAAATCAAGTTTGTAGAGGCTTGAATACGGCTTGTCCCCAAACTTAGTGACAGGTGGGCTCTTTGAGAGTTCGTCATGGAACCCGTCCGACACACTCACGGCCCCAGTGGACGGTGTCTTGTCTTGGTTGAGGCGCTGACATACCCGGTTGATAAACGAGGTTCCTGATGCCAAGTCTAGGTAGCTTCCCTGGAAGTCTGCGGTCAAGAGATCGGTACTGTGCGTAGGAGCACGATGGGCAGCCTCATGCTGAACGGGCTGTTGAATGGATGTTGGGAAGCTCCCGTCATGTTTGAAGTACTGCTCTTCGTCTGGCTGGCCGTCGAATGTCAACTCTAGCGGTGGTGGGGGCGGCGGCGGCGGCGGGCCGAGTCCCCTGGAGTAGGTCGTTTCGTATTCACAGACCAACGACAGTCGTTCGCAACGCGCACATGGACGAGTCCCGCTGCAGCGAGTCTTTTTCTCTTTGCAAATATCACACGCTCTGACTGTCTTGAGTCGCTGGCAGCTTGTTCGCTTGTCGGGTCCAGACGGCTTTCTCTTGCCTTTGATGCTGGGGGGCTCTTCATCCTCCGCGTAGCTGGGATTGACCGGAGACGTCACTTGCGACAGATTCGCGGGGGTGGATCGGCTCATCTGCACTGATTAACTCGTGGTCATATAGAGATTTTTGACGTCAATAGCGAGAGAGAAGTTGAGTATTTTCTTTCTAATGTGAGAGATCAGGAGGTGAACACGTGTCGAAGAGTTGCATTGTCCCTCATTCGAAAACATGGGGGCCGAGTATGAGGTGCATATGTTTGTACACGCCATTGCGCATGTAAGATTTTGTACGTAAGCCGATCACGAAATTAGCAGAATACGAGACATTAACAAATGGACAGATTATTGTCCACAGGCCTGAGCGTTCGCGCAAGCAACCTGACAGGTGCTTTCAACCCCACCAAGGCATCGATTTTTGACCAGATTCAGGGACTGGCCAATCCGAGCTCCGGACAAGTCCCAAGTGTGGGTTGATCCATGGATCCACTTAATCTCGGAAAGGGTCGATCTCCGCCCGGGCTACTCCGTACCCCGTTCTATGATTCCAAGGTTTAGAGCGGAGAAATGGATGTAACGGTACAAGGCAGGCTTATGCACCCTTATTGAATATTATTGGCTCCAAATCACGCGCATGTCCTCTGCCATATTCCCAACCAAGCCGAGATCGCCAGGAGAAAGGAAACCCTGCGCACCCTTAGCCCCACTTCGCGTAAGCTTACCGCCAACCTAAACCGGTCTGGCGTTACTCTGAGCGTGAAGAAAAATCGTATCCAGATCAAGGAAGCGTGAAGCTGTAGCCTTGGTGATGTAGGAGTCGGAGTATCTTGAAGTCACTAAGCTATCGCTTCAGAGAGCTGTGTACGTACGTCCATAAATGTTTCATCCCCAGCCCGAAGTAGTGGGCTCTTAGCTGCTCTGGGCCTTTGTCTTAAGATGTCCTACCCTCTATAGCTCCTTGGCATTAAACTGCAGATATCACATTAAAGGTTTCATCACTGATCGACGTGACTTACTCTATGGTATAATCAGCGTCGGCGACTTAATCACTAGTGCGATCCCACAGTATGTATTGAGCATACATAGTGTGGAGACACCTACATATATATACCACTGCAACAAGTCAGTTCTCATGGACTGACTTTGTTATGACCTTTTGGTCTAATGGGTAAATGTCAGAGCAGTGGTTGGCGTGATCTCACTAGCTTACCCATATGCTAGTCCCTAAACCGCGGTCACTGCCCCCTACGCTGTAGACCACTTTCCTAAATAGCTCACCTTTCACTCGGTACCTAGAATAGTTGAACGCTTGTCTTTTATAACCGAATGAACTGGTAGCGTCACTAATAGAGCCTCTCTTTAAGATCACTTGTTCAATAGATATATATTCATCCAAAACGCCCATTCTTTAAATGTACCGCTCTAAGCCTAATCAAATAGGGTGTGAAGGATCTGCCCGGGCGCACATCTTCCCGCTCGGCCAAAAGACCATTATGTCAGAGCTCTCGCTCTAACATGCCCGGGACCAATATATATATAGTAGCGCACATAGCTATCCGTGACATAGGGACCTCTCCTAAGAGCACCCAGTACTTAAAATAGTGCGAAGGACAATAACGGCTAAAGTTTTAATACTTGACTTTATGTGGTTGGTGTTTTATTTTGCTTTATTTATGCCTTATTTTAGACCGCTTCCTGTACCGCTCTATATAGTGTATTGGTGTATTGGAAATTGAAGCTATACAAATCACTATATTGGAGAAGGACTCTGAATTGCAAGGGTACGCTGGGTAGGAGACAAAATTGACATTGAAGGTGCAGCTGTTTGAAGATGTTTAAGGATGAAGGTGAGGTCTATTGGCGCAGGACTTTCCTTATTGGTATAGGAGTCTATACCCCCTTTAGGAAGTGTCACTCTTGGCAGTCAATCTTCAATACGAGTGCCTTTTCTATGGTACCAACTTGGTAGAAAACACAGTCCCCGAACCTCCTCAGCCATATGGTATGGCGGGGCCTCCGAAATATTGCGCCAGTTGGTAGGCTACGCAAAGCCCAACCACGATGGGCCATTATTGTATTAAATGTCAGTCTTGGCGTTTATGAAGTCGAGGAATCATCAAAATAAATGATTAGTCTAGAATTTTTAAATTTTAAAATAAACTAATTTAGTAGTAAATAAAAGAAGCTAGGCTATTTAATATATCCTTCCTAGCGAAATATACCCTAATTTATAATCTAAAGGATCGATTCTAGTTATTTAAGCCACTCCTTTATATAGAAGTCTCTATTTACTAAGCTTAATATAATACCTAGTAGGAACCCTAATTAATAGTGTTGGCGAATGTATATAAAAAAGTCACATTTTTAAACGGCACTGAGACCGTATCATCCGGTTTCTTGACAATAACCCCTACGTATGTTTGCCCAGACACATGGAGGAAACACGTGATACCATCGGTCCAGGTGATATAGAATGACCATAAAAAGGATCTCAGTGGGCTACAAACATCCAAGTCTCCCTGAACCCATGTCTACAATTTTCTTGACTTTTTCTGATGGCGGTTCGCCGTCATTTCTGGAACAAGCCACACGGAGAACGCGAGTATTGAAAGAGAACTCGCAAATACGAGATAGAACAGTGTCTATAATGGTCATCATAAATAGAAGAAAAAGGAAAAGAAGTCGTATCTTGTGCGTATTGCTTCGCTGGATGACCATATTTCGAGACGTTTGGAAGGCTTGGTCCAAACATGTCAACTTGCGATCGCGATCGTCCCACGACTACTGGGTACGGCTTTACTCATGTGATATGCAATAGTGGAAAAACACATGAAATAGTTGGAAAGGTAGTCAATCTATATACAATTCAAATATGACCCCCGGTTGTTAACCCCACAGGCCTAATCCGTATAGGCGCTTTCCTGTTCGATGGTGGTTGCGTTGTACTTCCGGAGCGTGTCCTCCAATCCTGGAATTGGTGCATCGAAGTCAATCAAGCAGCTGTTCATGGTGCGGGCGAGAAACGCGTAGATCGACTGAGTGAAGAACAGGTCCATCAAAGCCTCATCTCCAAGGATCTGTTTGGCCTTGAGCACCGTGTCCTTGTTGACACGATCGCGCAGACAAAGGTCTTCAACCACCGCGCTGATCAGTCGTTGGCGATCTGAGAAGAGCTCCGTCGAGCTCAAGTCCCCCCGAGCGGAGGCACGCCAGTTGTGCGTCGGTGTACCCGAAGACCCGGGCCACGGGCTCATTGACGTCCCACTCGTACGGAGCGTCGAGCAGGGACGCGGTGCGCAAGACGGCCAGTTGCCAGTCCTTTGAGCGCAAGCTGCGCTCGGGCGACCAGGCACAGGTCAGGAGTTTCATGAAGGTTGGGAAAAAGGTGGGCGCATTGGCAACCAGCTGGGAGTCGATTGTTAATGCCTCGCTCACTCATCGCAGAAGACCATGGGGAGAAATATGAGAATGTACCTTAAAGATGTTGCGCTCGAAGGGAAGTGTTTTCAGGGCTGCGCTGACCTCCTCCGGAGCCGTTGCGGAGTCCACGTACGGCAGGAGGTGGTTTTTGGTCATGTCGCGGTTGTCCCAGGAAGTCATGATGACAGAAGAGTGGAAGTCGATGAGATTTATTATGAAGAAGGCGGAAGCGTGTGTTTTGGCTTTCAATGTGTCGATTGTGGTGAGCGTGGTGAGTGGGATGATTGCTGCTGAGCTGGAGTTGTTGATGGGTCCGTCGGGGGCTTTTTATAACGTAGGATTTGTAGTGATGGATCTGATGGACCCGGAAGGTCAAAGATGAGCCAGCGAGCTGAAGCAATCACCTGGGTATTTCCGGTGATTCCTTCCGTCGGTGGTTGGCAATTAGGGCTTTCCGGGTCAGTGGCCCCGCAGTGTTTCCGCTGCGGCGCTCTCTCTTTCTCCTCCTCTCACTGCATGCTTGGCACGTGGAGTTGTCGATCTGAAGAGCCCGATCGTGTGTCTGCACAAACCCAATCATCTCGTGAAATTCTCCGAGATGTCAAAGGACGCGTCCGTGCACTCGTGGTGGGCCTAACACACTGATGGCAACTATACTGGATGCCACCATGACGTTTGTTAGTCATTTCCGCCTCCTGTACATGCCTGGCCGATATGGCGCAAGAGACAGGTTCCGGATCGTGCATACCACCTCGACCAAGTCAGTACGTCGATCCCGGGGCCGGGCCCTGCTACTGAGGGGAGGGGGACATAGCGCACAGCATGGCACGGAAACCTTCTGAGTTACTGGGACGGGCGATGCTTAGGATGGGTTTGACCATGATTAAGAAAAGTCTATAAAGAATGGGGCATGGAGGCACCCAGTAGTCAACCCATCAACACTTGAAACAGAAACCAGCAAAGGCATTCATCGTTTGGGAGAAACACTCGCAATCCTTCCTATCTCACACCAAGACAAAAGTTACTATCAACATCGCCATCATGAGCCTCGTACAGATGAACACCATGGACATCTTGTCCGCTGATCCTTTCAGCCATGCGGAAGTTCTGTACGACCAGCACTTGGGCGACATTGAGAGCCTGCTCCGTGGTCATGACCTGGAGGCGGAATGGCCGGCGACTCCGGCACAATGCCAAATCCTAGAATCTGACGAAATGCCCTGGTGCAAGATCACCCTGATCTTGCCACGGCAGTCTGCGCCCGATGTGAATCGAATTAAGTCGAGCTGGACTCAGATCTGCTCCCACCGTGAGTTTCCACTTTTCTTGGCTTAGCGTGAATTCCCAGAATGTCTAACACCTAAACGCAGACTGTGGCCTTCGTACGATCTTCCGGTCGGATCCCCGGTCGGGGCAGACGTATCAGCGGGTGGTGTATCGCACTCCGGATATCCAGTGGGATACTAAACCGATTGGGAGCAATGTCTCTTCCTCCAACTCATCGTTGGCGGATGTTCCAGCGGAGGATGATCTGGCACAGTTGATTGTCTGTCGCGACCCAAGCACCGGCAGCTATCGCTTGACACTCCGTGCACGGCGGGCAGCCGTCGACGGTACCTCCCTCGAGATTATCAAGCGCAACTTCGTCCTGCTGTATTGCGGTTTACCCTTGCCGGAGCACACTCCGCTGGCGACGTACCAACGTTTCCTTAAAGAAACAAAAGACACGGCCAGCAGCATTGCGTTCTGGAAGGCTCAGCTCAGTGGTGCTGTGCCAGCCGTTGCTCTCCCTGGGAGACAGGACTAACGGACCTGAGTGTGTCTCAAGACCGCCAGGCTCTTCGTCTCCATCTCGATGACAATTCCCACCCGGGGCTATCTCAGATTGAGCATGCCTCGGGCCTGCCACGCAAACTCATCTTTGAAACCCTCTGGGCCTATGTCTGCACTGCCATTCCGGTGCCAGCGATGTTCTCTTCGCGGCCGTGGAGCGCGATGCAAGCTTCCCAGATGCCGACTCGTGTGTGGGATACCTCGACCACACTTATCCCGTCCGATTGTCGGTGTCCAGCGACGAGACGTTCGTCGGCCTTTCTAACCGCCTCACCACCTTCCATCAGGCAGCATCCCCGCATGCCTACCTGGGATACAACGCCTTATCCCAGGGACTCACAAATCCCATTGAGTCGGTTGTAAGATACTCCCCGGATCCGAATGGACCGACACTGGCCGGGCAGTTGGCGCCATTCCCTCTGGCAATGTTCATCAATGGGACCAGTGTCATCACTTTGACGCTGTGCCACTCGCCCCTCACGGCGACCGCAGATGCCCAGCTTCTCCTCGACCATTTCTCCCATGCCCTTTACAGTGCGCTCAATAAATTCTACCTTCCTCACGCTCGTCTGGAGGAGATCGAACTGGGCTCGTGGGAAGAAAAGCTGGCCCAGGTGCACACGGCCAAGGCGTTGGCTCGTCCTCACCAAACATCGACCATTACCCGTCTGTTTGAAGAACAGGCCATGCACAGCCCTCAAGCCGCCGCGGTGCAGTTTGAGGAGGACGCCCCACTCAGCTATGCAGAGCTCAACGCTCGCGCGAATCGGATGGCACGCGCGCTACCTCCACTCATGGGCAAGGTCGTCCCAGTCTGTCTCGACCGCTCTACTGATTTAATAATCACTGTACTCGCCATTCTGAAGTCGGGTGGAGCATACACGGTGCTCGATCCAGAGGGACCCCTTGAAAGGAACGGTTGGATCATCGAAACTTGCTCCGCGACTATGGTCCTGACGAGCCGTCGTTACGCAGGTCTGTATCCTAGTGCTCTCGCAATCGAAGACTATATGCTTGCCCCGGGCAAGGAAGAAACTTCTGCGAACCTGGACATCGAAATCGCCAGTGAGGACCCATGCTACGTGGTGTTCACTTCCGGTTCAACTGGTATGCCAAAGGGTGCGGTTGTCACTCATGGGGCGGCCACAAATGGAATGGCTTACCATACATTGAGTGGCAAACAGCGCTGGTTGTTGTTCTATAATCCAACATTCTCTGCCGCACAGCGGACGATGCTGTCGACTCTGACCCATGGAGGCACTCTCCTCTTAGCCACCAAGCAAAGCCTGACGACTCGCCTGGCTGACACCATCCGCACCATGCAGGTGGATGCCCTCGGGATCACGCCGTCGGCACTGTCTCTCATGGAGCCCAATGATGTACCCAACTTGAAACAGGTCACGCTGGTGGGCGAGAGCATTTCCCGCGAGCTCGTTACCACCTGGGCAGATCATGTCGATTTGCGGAACACGTTCGGCCTGAGTGAATGTGCCCAACTGAACTTCGGAAAGCGCCTCTCACGCAGCAGCAACCCTGGAATCGTCGGACGCCCCACAGACACTACGCAAGCGTATGTTTTGAAACCCGGCACGACCGAGCTGACCCCGATGGGCGTCGCAGGTGAGTTGTGCCTGGTGGGACCGCAGTTAGCATTGGGCTACCTCACCTCGAGCACTGGTGCTAAGAAAGCGACCGCGGCGGCCTTCGTGGAAAGCCCCTTCGGCATGGGAAGAATGTACCGGACGGGGGATGTCGCTAGGATTCATGCAGACACTTCTATTGAGATCCTGGGCCGCATGGACTTCCAAGTCAAGCTCAACGGGCAAAAGGTCAATCCGGCGGAGGTGAACCGGGTTCTATCCCAACATGAAGCTGTCCAAAGTTGTTCAACAGTTGCCGTTGAGATGCGAGAACGACTCGTATTGGTGGCAGCGATCGTCTGCACTTCCGAAAATCAGTGGAGCAGAATGGTTTCCTCGATCCGTGACCACAGTAAGCAAAGGCTGCCGGCGTATATGGTCCCTTCCTTGTGGATGCAAATGTCGAAACTTCCGACCAATGGAAATGGAAAAGTGGATGTTCGCGCCATTGAGCGCGAAGCACTTGCGAAAGGGTGGGAAGGCCTGGTTGAAGCGGCAGCTTCAGATGCTGCTGTAGAGGCTATCACCGACCCAACCGAACAGCAGATCGCTAGTGTCTGGGCCGAAGTGCTTGGTCTGCCGCAACAGTCTATCAATCGTGACACTGCCTTCCTCTCGCTGGGAGGGACTTCAATTGAAGGTATTAAAGTCACGTCGGAGCTGCGCAAACGCGGATTTGCCATTGATCTTGGGGATGTACTCGGCAACGCCACCTTGAAGGAGACAGTATCTTACGTGACAGTCGTGGAAGATAGCTGTGAGGACCTCCAGCCATTTGCCCTCGTTCGAGACCCCGAAGCGCAGCAGGAATTCCATGCAGACCCTCACATCAGCGACGCATATCCAGCCACTCCTTTGCAAGAGAGCCTGCTCGCTAGTCTGGGTGAGGACCAAGGAATGTATACCTACCAGAGAACGTGGGATGTTAGTCGTCTTGATATCCGCAAGCTGCGAGACAGCTTCAATGCCGTTCTCGAGTCGAGCGACATCCTCCGCACATCGTTCAAGGCCCAGGGCCGCAGCCTGCTCCAGGTGGTCCGAAACGACATTGCTTTGCCTTGGGTGGAGTATACGGAAGACATTGGGGAATACCTTGCGCGAGATAAGCAGCAACCATTCTCCCTTTCCGGTCCCTTGTTTCGAGTGGCTATCGTCTCCGGGCAAGTTCTTGTTGTCACTATGCATCACGCCCTGTTTGATTACTGGTCGCATCGCTTCGTGTACCAGGACGTCGCCGACGTCTACCTGGGTCTTCAGCTCCGCCCACGGCCGCAGTTCAAACACTTCGTGTACCATAACGCGACTACATCAGCAGTCGAGCATGACCGCTTCTGGAGGGCGTATCTTACCAGCACGGAACCAAGCGTTATCAACACCGTGCCCATGACCCAAACAACAGTTGCCCAACGCAAGCTTTCCGAGGGTTCTCTTCGCCGGTCGCTTCAACTCCATGGGCTCTCACTAGGCGCCGTCCTGTATGGAGCGTGGGCTATTGTTCTCTCGAACCATACTCGCCATGCTGATGTGGTGTTTGCAACCACTCTTTCCGGTCGTGATGTTTCCGTGCTTGATGTTGACCGCCTCGATGGTCCTACTCTGACTACAGTGCCCCAGAAAGTGAATGTGGCACCCGAGACAACTCTCTTACAGCTAGCCCAGACCGTCCAGGCCAATCTGTCCAAAATATTGAAGCACTCGCAGCATGGC